ATACGAACTGATTCTTGGCACCTCCTTCCGCCGAGCCACGCTCACGTGGGGAGTGGTGGCCCACCGGACCCTTATCAGGTGATCTGGTCCCCAATTAGTAAACTTGGTATAAGATAACGAGCTTCGGAAAAGGAGCACCGTCGCAGGCCCTTACTCCGGGCCGTTCTGTTGTCAGATAACCTGCCGATGTATCTGTTGAGATTGGTGCCTTTAAGAATAATAACTGTTTTGATTGTGTTTTTTTTATCGCCGTATAATCTTTCAAGTATCTTTCAGTCATAATCGCCGCACGTACTCGCATCCTCTACAGAATATTCAACTGTCCCGTGACCCAAGGTGTTAACAACGTGATAAGGGTTGCGTATGGTCAATAAGGAGTGTGGTACTGCGTGAACAATATTGAGTATAATCATTCATTAACGTTAAGGTTTTCTTAGCATAGTATTTGCATGTTTTAACGACTCTCTCTCTCACTAACAACCATCGCGTTATGCGGGATCCATGTGCCGTTGTCAAAGTGAAATCAGACAATCGTTGATGATACTGTATTGATGCCGTATTGACGTTCCGGGATTGAGAGTTCGCATACTATATCATAGTTAAGGTTGAATTAGTAATAAATTGATCAATACAGAAGTGGTTGTGTGATTCTTTCCTGAAATCTATGCATAAGATCTGCTTCTGCGTTGAGATTTGAACTTGGTGACCTTAATAAACACACTAATACATACTCAGTAAATGTTAAAACGATAACGGGGTGAACCGGGGACCTAAAAATATAACCACGAATAAACACTCTGGGAATGTTAAAGCGAGAATGAGACAACCTAGACAACGGATGCCGAGTTAATCTAAGTTAATCTTGCATACTTACACCACACCTGCATAACTGCATACGATTAATTGCCTTATTCCGATCGATAACCCACCCTCGTCACCGAGGCGGGGTCTGGTTATCATAACGACTTGCATTATCATAATTACACCCACTCGCATAATTAATACGATTACCTCTCGAATTGGCATAATTAAAATGTGCGTAATTACATAAATTAACATATTTCCGGATAATTACACATTTGGCCAAATTTCATTTAATTATTATTATTTCCACTGAATATTCATAACCCACATATACAACATAATAATTTCACCCACGCACGCATACAACATAACAAATTTTCATACCCAACATATACAACAGTGCCGAGATGTTAACTACCTCGCCTAGTATACAGGAGGTTGTGGATTTTATCCCAGCCCTTCCGCTTGGATATTTGGAGTTTCTATGTTCTCCCCGTGGTCGTGTGGAATTTTCTCCAGGTTGTCCCTCCACATGTGAACATGCATTTATATAATTTGGTTGCAATAACATTCTACGTGAAAAGCCACTTAATTGAACTGTCATTTGTGCTGAGGTGGCTTCCGACAAAGATCTATAGCTCAGGGCCTTACCCAGTAAAATGAAAAACAATTAAATATTTGTTTATTGTGTGGATGAGTGGGTGCGTGCGTGCGTGCGTGGGTGGGTGCGTGGGTGGATGAGTGAGTGGATGGGTTGATGCGTCGTAGGTGAGTCGCTGAGTGAGTGAGTGGTTGGGTGCATGAGTGTGAGTTAGAAATTGAGTGGGTGGCTTAGTGAGTGGGTCAGTGTATGAATGGCTCAGTAGTTGAGTGAGTGAGTGGGTGATTGAATGAGTGGGTGAGTGTGTGGGTTAGTGGGTGGGAGAGTCAGACAGTGGGGCGCCATGGTGGCGAGATGTTAACTACCTCGCCTGGTATGCAGAAGGTTGTGGGTTTGATCCTGACCCTGACACCTGTATATTTCCCTCCACATTTAAAATCAACAAGCATTTATAGGATTTGGATGCAATACATGTCATAAGCCACTTCGTTGACCTATAATTTTTAACCAGGTCATTTCTGAAAAATATGTTTAGCTTTGTCGGCCTTACCTGGTAAAATATCCACAATTTAGATTTAGTTTAGTGTGTTGGTGAGTGGGCAGGTGAGTGCGTGGGTGGGTGGGTGAGTGGGTGAGTGTGAGTGGCTCGGTGGTTGAGTTAGTGGGTGGTAGTGGGTGGTTGAGTTAGTGGGTGGTGGAATGTTTTGGTGGTTGAATTATTGGGTGGTTGAGTGATGGGTGGGTGGGTGAATAATTACGTGGTTAGTGGGTGAGTTGCTGAGGGAGTGGTTGGGCGAGTGGGTGGGTTAGAAATTGAGTGGGTGGCATGGTGAGTGGATGTGTATGTGACTGGGTGAGTAGGTGAGTGGCTGGGTGAGTATGTGAGTGGATGGATGAGTGAGGTGGTGAGTGGGTTTGTGGATGAGTGAGTGTGTGGGTAGGAGGTTACGTGGGTAGTGGGTGGGTTATAAATTGAGTGAGTGGGTTAGTGACTGGGTGAGTTGTAGTTGAGAGAGTCAGTTTAAAAGTGAGTTGGTGGGTTAGAGATTGACTGGCTCGGTGAGTGAGTGCTGGGTAGGTTAGTGAGTTGTTGGGTGGGTGAGTGTTAGTGGGTGGATGATCGACTGGGTGGGTGGTTGAGTGAGTAGATAGGTGGGTGGGTTGCAGTGACGTGTGGTGAGGTCAATGGCTGGGGAGGCACTGGCTTGTGTCAGAGCCAGATTCACACACTGAGGGGGACGTGGCCTCACGGAGGGGGGCGTGTTAGACGCATCCCCCTCAGTGAGGCAAATGTGATGGCTGCCTCCCCTGGTGCTTTTTCATTGCAGTTTCATGACGAGACCAGCGAGCCTAAATATCTTTATACTCTTAGTTCTTTCGGTAAAGTCACGTGGGTAAAATTAATAAAAATAAAACAATAAAAATCACGACGTTTCGGAGGCAACACAAGCTTCCGTCTTCAGGTGAAACCGTCACAGCAAACTATCTGTACCTTATATAGTGGTTAAGGGGGGAGGAGCCAGGAAGGGCAGCGGGGGAGGAAGAGTTGTGAAATGGCCAATTTCTGCTTTTGTTATACTGCTGGGTGGGTAAATGAATTAGATACGATGAAGCCGCTCTTGGTTTTGCTGTTTGTGCGCAAGTCACTGTGGGATGAATGGACTCGTGGTCAGGGACGTGTTGCGCAAGTAACTGTGGATGTACATAATAGAAAAGGAGCGGAAATGCCCATGTTTATACCAGTGTTGGCTGACAATAAAGAGTACTGTTAAACGTTAGGGATGTTAACACTCGGTGAAGTAAAATAGTGCCTGTCAGATAAGATGGTCCAAAAATGTGTAATTAAATCTTTTTTGCATGGTTGATAACATCTTTCCAATGATTACTAAGTTTGTACCCATCATCACGGTTGAAATTATGTCTGTGTTTGTATATCTGAATGGCTTCGTGTACAAACCTTTGATGGTAGCCAGAAGGCTTGCAGAGCACCTTAGTCTCGGAGAAAACAATGTCATGAGAGCCCACCGAGTTGTAGCAATGATCGGCAACGGCGGACGACTCAATTTTGCCGTGTTTCAAATCTGACTTGTGCTCGCGGACACGATCAGAGACATGACGTTTCGTTTCCTCAATGTAACAGTCACCACAGCTGCAACTCAGTTTATAGACTCCAGGGTATTGCAAGTCAGGGATGACATCCTTCACAGATGGAATTAGATCACGGATTTTATGTACTGTACTGAATCGGACTTGGATCTTATGTTTTTTAGAATTTTGGAGATCTTTTTGGTCATGCCTGCTATGTATGGTAACGTGACAGTTTTGATCGGAGTTTCATGTGGCTGTTTCTGTATGGTGGGAGAAACAGCTTGGCGGATGGTGCGGTCAGAGTATCCGTTCATCCTGAGGGCCCGATGTACATGTCTCAATTCACTGGCCAGGTGGTGTTGGTCAGAAATGCCATGAGCTCTGTGGTATAGCGTTTTGATGAGAGAATTCTTTTGAGATGGGTGGTGGTGAGAATCCGGTTTCAAGTAGGAATCTGTGTGGGTGGCTTTCCTGTAAACAGAATGTCCCAAGGATTCGTCAGGTCTCCTCTCAAACAGAATATCTAAGAATGGTAGTTTGCCATCTTTCTCCACTTCCATGGTGAATCTGATCGATGGATGTCTGGAATTGATGTGGTCCAAGAAGTGGTTCAATGCTGGGAGGCCATGTGGCCAAATGACGAAAGTGTCATCCACATACCTCTTCCACAGGGAAGGACGCAGGGTGGATGTCTGGATGGCGTCTGATTGTTTTATTTTATTAATTTTACCCACGTGACTTTACCGAAAGAACTAAGAGTATGAATCCTTGCAGTCACGAAACCTTCAAATCTAGAACCTAAATACATACTGAGATAGTAACAGGCACGCGCTTATTGCCCGCGCTCCATCCAGTTACTGAGGGGTTGCGTAATCAGGGGAGGCTGAGCTCGTCGCTGCCTCAACTCTCGTCTCTTCCTGTATTTGCAGCGGAGCTCCGCAAATTTGGCGATTTTGACTATAAAAATTATTGGAATCGTACAGAAATGACATTTATAACACAGATCAGTGGAAAAATCTTAATTTTTATTTTATTATTCTCTTTTTTTTACTTTTCATAACAACTATTGTCATTGGAGTATGACAGGTGAGGCTCTGCCTCGTCGCTGGTGGGTTGGTAGGTTGGTGAGGAAGTGAGAGGGTTAGTGGGTACGAGATTGAGTGGGTGGCTGGCTGAGTGGTTGAGAAGATGGGTGTGCGATTTCATGGGTGAGTGAGTCGGTGAGTGAGTGGGTGAGTGGGTTTTTGTATGGGTGAGTGCTTCAGTGGGTTCATGAGTGAGTGGATGGGTTATTGAGTGAGAGGGTGGGTATTTGAGTAAGTGGTGTGCGTGAATAGGTGAATGGGTGGGTGTTTGAGTGAGTGAGTCAGAGAATGGGGTGCCACGGGGGTGAGATGGTAACTTCCTCACCTAGTGTATACAGGAGGTTGTCGATTCGATCCCAACCCTGTCGCAAGTATATTTGATTGTGCTTGTTCTCCTCGTGGTCGTGTGGATTTTTTTCCAGGTGCACTGAGTTTTCCCTCTGCATTGAGAATAAACTTGCATTCAGAGGATTTGGCTGCAATGCATGTGTAAGTGGTAAGTCACTTTGTTTACCTGTAATTTGTAACAAGGTCGCTTTTGAAAAAGATCTATATAGCTCTGTGGGCCTTAGCTGGTACAATGAGAAATAGTTCAGTTTTCGTTTATTGGGTGGGTGAGTGGTTGATGGGTGATTGATTGAGTGGGTGGTTGGGTTGGTGGGTGAGTGTGTGAGTTAGAGAGTGGGTGGGTGGATGGGTGGGTGTGTGAGTGGGGGAGTGAATAGGTGAGTGGGTGGGTGAGTGGAGTCTAGAGTGAGTGAGTGAGTGGGTTGGTAGGTGGGTCGTTGAGTTAATGAGTGGGTGTGTAGGTGGGTGCACAGGTATGTTCTTGAGTGGCTGTGTGTGTGCATGAGCAAGTGAGTTAGCGGTTGAGTTGGTGGCACGGTGAGTGGATGAGTGAGTGTGTGGGTGGCTTTCGTAGTTTAGTGGTTGGGTGAGTCAGATAGTGAGGCGCCACAGTGGCGAGATGCAAACTCCCTCGCGAAAGACGACGTGTTAAACTGGTATATTGGAATTCGTAGGTTTGACCCCAACCCTGATGTCTGTATATTTGGAATTTGCATCTTCTCCCGTGGTCACGTCGATTTTCCTCTGATTCCTTCGGGTTTGTTGAACACGTAGACTTTCGCGACCAATATCATCCATAATAGAGGTTTCTTTTTTGGGTTAGATCGCGTAAATATATAAATGTGTCGTTAAAACCCACCACCATCCGACACAGCCAACTAGTAAGGGTTGTCACGTACGCAGAACATGCCAATTTGTAACTAGTACAGCACACGGTGTGTTGGAGAGTCAAGCCACAACATTTACAATCTGAGTACGACGTTTCGCCAGTAATTACAACTAGCTTCATCAGGCAACAGCCAGATTTGTGGAGACATTCACCTGTTTCGTTCCTTATATAGAAGCGTAGATGTGGTGCCTGTTTTTATCATTTGCCTGTTATCATTCGCCTGTTATTAAGTTGAAAGTAAAAATAGTTATTATTGTTGTAATCACGTTATAAGTAGAAATAATTGTTATTTCGTTAAAAGTAGAAATAATTATTGTTATCAAGTTCTAAGTGGAAATAATAATGACTGTTCTCATTCACCTGTCGTTATCATTTGCCTGTTGTTATTTTTCGCCTATTGTTATCAAGTTAGAAGTAGAAAGTTATTATTATTGTTATCATTCGCCTCGTGTTGGTAGCGCACGTCTCTAATCCAGCACTGTGGAAGGTAGCGAGGGTTGGTGAATCACCGCACAATGATGTTGGCAAATCACCTTCCCGTGGGTGTCGAGGTGCCATAACCTGACTCGCCAGGAGAAGGCAGTAGAGCAAGTAGACTAATCGCCATCTTCACCTGTGTTGTATCGTAGACGGAGGTACTCGGAGACGGAGGTTGAGTTAGGGGCTTCCGCCAGGGTTTATTAACACTTATCACTATCCCTGGTTCCCTCTTTACCCCTTCCACTATCCCCGTTCCTCCAGTGACCCCGCTTACGTTACGGGGTCTCCCTTATATACCCTCGGAGGGGTGATGTCACGTGCACTGCCCAGCGCGTGCGACCCCACGTCCCGTGAGGTCACCGCACCGGACAGCGCACACGACGCCACCACTCTCCACTACTCCTCTACATCACCCCCCCCCGTGAAAAAAAAACAGCCGACCCGGCTGCAATCAACCTTAGGGCAGCACGGCCCTTCAAGCAGAACAGTAACAACAAAAAACAAAACAAATAGAGCCCGAAGGCCTCATCCGCCGGATAGCGCCGAACGGGCGCCAGGGGCTAGGCCCGCTGAACGGCCATCAGGGCCGTCACCGGAGCCGCACCCCCCTCGAGCGGGTATGCGCTGCTGGCCCGCTCCCTCGTGCGGTGTCCGCCACCCGTGCAGGTGGGCCGTCAGCGGGCAACAGGCCCACCGCCGTGGCCTCCGGTGCCTGGGGGGTCTCTGTCGGCCTCACTCGGGAGGGGCCTGGGGGCACACACACAGGTCGGACGTCACCTCCGTCAACGAGACCCGGCCGGTCAGGCACGCCGGATACATCATCAGCCGGCCGCTCCGGAATTGGGGGTGGATCCCCCAGGGTAGATGGAACATAACGTTTGAGCCGGGACGGGTGCACTATCCACTGCCTGCGACCGAATCGAATCCGGACGCATTGCGGCCGGCGGACCTCCACAACCTCCACGGGTCCCTGCCAAGGGCGATGCAATTTGGCCGATGTGCCAACGGGGACCTGGGGACAATGCAGCCACGCTTTTTGACCCGCTACCCACGGGAGGCCAGCTGCCTGGTGTTTTGGCAGCCGCTCATTAGCCGCCTGCCGGCTTGCGGAATTCTCGGTAGCGGCCTGTCGCGCCTCGCGCAGCCGGTCAAGTGCGACCTTCAAAGGGGTCGGCACCGCCGACCCCTTCTTGGAGGAGCCAACGTCCATCTGGACGTGCACCGGGGGCTCCGGTTCCCTACCGTACATCAAATAAAAAGGCGAAAATCCCGTGGAGGCATGAGGGGCCAACCGATACGCCGCCAAGACCCCCGGGACGAACAGGTCCCAGTCTGACTGGGACGTGTTCACCTGGTGGCACAGCATGGACGTAAGGGTGCGGTTCAAGCGCTCTACCATCCCGTCTGACTGGGGGTGGTAGGGCGAGGTGCGGATTTTCTTGGTGCCAAGGAGGTCACACACCTCCTTGAGCAACCTAGACGAGAAATTCCGCCCCTGGTCAGTCAACAATTGTTCCGGCGCGCCCTTGTCAAACACGTATCCCTGGACGAAGGCCTCGGTGATAGAAGAGGCCAACTGATCGACCAAAGGCCATGCCATGGGCCAACGTGTGAGGTACTCAACGCCCACCAAGAGGTATTTGTGGCCCGGTTGGGATGCAGGGAATGGCCCCAAAATGTCGAGCGCCACGAGCTCATTAACGCGAGAAACCCGGATGGACTGCAGCGGGGCCCGGTCCTGGACAACTGGGGCCTTCCTCCGCGCGCAGTCGTGGCAACCCTTCAAAATCAGTGCTACGTCACCCTCAACACCCGGCCAGTAATAGTCCCGCTTAAGGGTCAATAAGGTCTTGTGGTAGCCAAGGTGCATAAGCTTCTCGTGAATGGCTCGGGTTAATTTACCACGCAGGCTAGTGGGCACAACCACACAATAGCGTTCCAATTGGGCATCCCAACGCATGAGTAGTCCGTCATGCACGGCGATCGCTGGGGCAGCCGACGAAGCTAAGCTCCGGGCGTTATGTCCGACATGGCGCCGTAGCTTCAGCAGAGAGGAATCCTCCATCTGCAAGCCGGACCATACCTCCCGGGGAAGTCCAAGGCCGAAATCTGCGGTCGACGCCGCACCTGGAGGGTTGTCTGCCTCGGCCGACGCGACCAACTGGGCCGCGGCGTCCCCTGGGGCCTTGCAACGGCTAGAGCCCAGGGCGCAAGCACACCCGCCGCCTGCCGGCAATCGGGATAAACCGTCCGCATTTCCATGCTGTGTCCCCTTCCTATGGATTACATCAAAAGGGTAATCCTGGAGCACTTCGAGCCAGCGAGACAGCTGACCCGAGGGCTGACTAATCTTCAGCGAATATTGCAGGGCCGCGTGGTCGGTTCGGACCGTAAACAGCCTACCGTACAAATATGGTCTATACAACTGAACAAAATAAACTATGGCCAAAAGCTCCCTCCGGGTCACACAATATCGCTGTTCCGTCGAGGACAGAACGCGACTGCCATAGGCTACCACCCTCTCAACCCCGTCGACCACCTGGGCCAGGACAGCCCCAATTCCCGTGTCGCTGGCATCGGTATCGAGCAGGAAGGGTTTCGTAAAATCCGGGTACCCCAAGGGCGGCGCATCCGCCAAGGCCGTGCGAAGCGCCACAAAAGCCGCCTCCTCCTCCGCGCCCCAGTGAAACCTTTGTCCTTTGGCGGAAAGGGCGTGCAGTGGCTTCGCAATTGTCGCAAAATCGCGGACAAACCGGCGATAGTACGATGCGAATCCAACGAAGCTACGCACCTCCGCGACAGATGTGGGAGTCGGCCACGTCCGGACACAAGCCGTTTTATCCGGGTCCGTGGCGACACCTGACGTGCTAACAATGTGTCCCAAATACCTCACCGATGGTTGTAGCAAGTGGCATTTCTGGGGTTTGAATTTCAAGCCAGCAGGCACGCACTTTGACGAACACCGCCTCAAGGCGTTGCAAGTGCTCGCCAAACGTACGGCCAAAAACAATAACGTCATCCAAGTAGATTAGACAAGACTCCCACTGCAGCCCCGCCAAGACCATCTCCATGAGACGCTGGAAGGTGGCCGGGGCCGAATGGAGACCCATAGGAAGCCGATTGAACTCGAACAACCCCTGGGGCGTGCGGAACGCTGTTTTGGGTCTAGAGGCCTCATCCAGTGGCAATTGCCAGAAGCCGGAGAGCAAATCTAAAGTCGAAAAGAACCGCGCGCCCGAGAGGGCGTCCAAGGAATCATCCATGCGAGGCAATGGATATGCATCAGCCACCGAGATCTTGTTCAATCTACGAAAATCGACGCAGAACCGGAGACTCCCGTCCCGTTTCTTGACTAGCACAATGGGGGCACCCCAAGGGCTAGTAGATGGGGAGATGATGTCCGCCGCCAACATTTCCTCGACAGCCGAGCGGACATGATCTTTTTCCGCTGGGCTAAAGCGGTGGGAATTAAGTCGAATAGGGGCCGCGTCGCCCGTGTCTATGTGGTGGTCCAAAAGAGTAGTGCGACCCAGATCAAACTTACTTTGGCTGAACACATCGGTGAACCGCTCGATGAGGTCGCGGAGTTGCCGACGTTCCCCGAAGGACAACGAGGCATTCTCGTCGCACAACGTGGCGATCCATGATGCGTCGGGGTCCCCCGTGCGCATCACGCCCGCCACGACCCCTCCATCCGGGGCAGCGCTCTCGGGTGGAGGAGCCGGGGTTGCGTGTGCCAGGACGGCGCCGGCCGGGACTACGACCGGCAAGGGTCCCGAATTGAGGACCTGCAAAAAAAGGTCCTGGCCCCCCGACACGGCTGTCAAGGCGCCCACCAACCCCTTCGTCCTTGAAAAGTAGCTTGACGGGGACAGGAGGATACCCGTCTCCGTGGAGCCCATTTCGAGCGGTTTGCGCAACCTAAGGGGTATCAGGATTTGTGATGCCGGTGGTACGGTCACCGGCACTTTATTCAAGGCCCGTACACCGGCGACCAAGGGAGACAGGACGGTAGGTGATTGTAGGAATTGCAGCCGCCTCCCTGACGGCATTTCCACACAGCCCTGGTCAACGAGAATTCGGATGGGCATCCTAGACAAAAAGTCGGTCCCCAAGAGGCATGGCACTGCCAAGGTCCTGGAGACCAAAATCGGCCCGGCCAACTCAATCTCGTCAACCCGAACCGACGCTACAACGTGGCCCAAGATGCCCAAACTGCCGCCGTTCGCGGCGACACAAGCCCCGCGAACCGGCCTTAATGGACCCACGCTGCGGGGTAGCAGCCCAAAAATGGCCTCAGAAATAATGGTGGCCGACGCCCCCGTATCCACCAGGAGGCGAACGTGCACCCCTTGCACATATCCTGCCACCGCTGAGGAGCCGGCAGCTGCCGCCACCATCCTATGCGCAAGCGCATCCCAGTGGCGGGTCTGTCTGGGCCATTGAGGGGGTGATGACGATGGTGCACCCGACCCTTCGAGGACAACCCCATGACGATGGGCCCTAGCCCCGCTAGATGCATGAGGTGAAGGGAGCGGCCGCGCAGATGATGCGTCGCGACTCGCCTGGGGCCCCGAACCCGATGCCAAGGAGGGTCTGGGAGAAGGTGGAGTCCCTTTTCCAAAGGCCCCCGGGGCATTCCGGCAGCCCCGCTCAATGTGGCCCCGCTGACCACAGCGGAAGCAGGCCACCGTGTCCGCCTCCTGTGGACGGGAAGGTCCCGGCCGCCCCCGCTGCTCCGGACGGCGACCACCCGTTCCCCTTCCTCGACGATCGGGCATCGCCAGGGCCGCGAGGGTGTCCCCCCCGTCCGGCGCCAGGATCCCCGCACACGCCGCCATCTGAGGCCGTTGGCGGAGGGAGAGGTGCGCCTGAATGTTTTCTGCGACCGCCAAGGATGTGATCTGCCGATCATTGTTGATCGACAGAGCAATTCCTAGCTCCCTTGCCAGGTCAAGCAGCTTCCCCAAGGCCATAGAATCAAGTGCCCTGCCGTACAGGTCAGGGTATGCAGCCTGCGCCAGGGCCAGGAGCGAGCAGCGGAAGGCCAGCGGCAGTTCCCCCTCCTCCCGCCGCCGCAATGAAAACTTTAGCTGCACGGTGGACGGCGGCTCAAAAACGTTGGCCATTTGGATATAGGCCGCCGGGAGTGTAGCCCGATTGGCCGGATGGATGGACTTGAAGGCCTGCAGAGCCCTTTCGTCCAAGCAGGTCGGAAGCGCCGGCAAGGCCTCCTCCATGGACCAGCCGACCGACATGTATGCCGCGTCGAACCGGTCCTGGAAGGCCGACCAGTCGCCCCCTTGCGCGACAAACGGCGCAACGTCGGGTAACCTGCGCTGCCATTGGCCGCGCGGCGCCGCGAGGTGTGGAAGCCAAGCGGCACCTGCGGGCCACCCAGCGGACGCGACGTGTTGCGGCGGTGGCAGCATTGCGGCTCCCGCGGGCCACGCCGAAGACGCGGAAAGGTGCGGTGGTGCTGCGGCCCCCATGGGCCACGTCGTAGGCGCAGCGAATTGTGGCTGAGTTGCGGCCCCCATGGGCCACGTCGTAGGCGCAGCGAATTGTGGCTGAGTTGCGGCCCCCATGGGCCACGCCGTAGGCGCAGCGAATTGTGGCTGAGTTGCGGCCCCCTTGGGCCACGCCGTAGGCGCAGCGAAGTGTGGCTGAGTTGCGGCCCCCATGGGCCACGCCGTAGGTGCAGCGAAGTGTGGCTGAGTTGCGGCCCCCATGGGCCACGCCGTAGACGCAGCGAAGTGTGGCTGAGTTGCGGCCCCCATGGGCCACGCCGTAGATGCAGCGAGGTGTGAAGGCGCCTGCGCTTTCGCGACCCACCGGTCAGCGGCGGCGTACGAAGCCACGGCGTCGTCCCGCGACGCGGCGAGGGACCACGGCGTTGCAGCCTCAACGGGCCACGCCGAAGACGCGGCGGTGTAATTCGGGCCTGCAGCGGCCCCCGCGGCCCACCCCGCCGGCGCAGCGAGGTGCGGGACAGCGGCCGCAGCCGCGGCAACCTCTCGCGATGCGGCGAGGCACCACGGCGTTGCGGCCTCCCCGGGCCACGCCGAAGACGCGGCGGTAAAACACGGAGCCGCGGTGGCCCCCGCGGCCCTCCCCGCCGGCGCAGCGAGGTGCGGGACAGCGGCCGCAGCCGCGGCAACCTCTCGCGACGCGGCGAGGCACCACGGCGTTGCAGCCTCCATGGGCCACGCCGAAGACGCGGCGGAATAACACGCAGCTGCGGCGTCATCCATGAGAAGGGACGCAGGCACGGCGAGGTGCAGAGCCGCGGCATCGCCGGTGTCCGGCCCCGTGAGCGCAGCGACAGGTTGAGCCGCGGCAGCACCCGCGGCCCATTCCGGTGGCACAGCGATGTACGGGGCAGCAGCAGCCGCCGCTGCCCACCCCGGCGGCCCGGCGAGGACGGCACGCGCGTACTTACCCTGGGCCCCCCCGGCGGGCGCCGCTCGATGTAGAGCCGCGTCGTCGCCGGCGGCTGGTCTCGCAGGAGCGGCGTGCCGAGAAATCCCGGCCGCGTCGGTGGAGAGACGCGGCGTCGCGGTCGCCATGGCAGCCGTAGCAGCGGCCGCATATGGCTCCCGAGCCAACATGGCCGCCGCGGATTGCGTCGCAGCCAACATGGCGGCCATTTCCGGTGGAGCGGTCGCTGGGGCCCCCCCGGCGGGCGCAGCTTGATGTAGAGCCGCGTCGTCGCCGGCGGCTGGTCTCGCAGGAGCGGCGTGCCGAGAAATCCCGGCCGCGTCGGTGGAGAGACGCGGCGTCGCGGTCGTCATGGCAGCCGTAGCAGCGGCCGCATATGGCTCCCGAGCCAACATGGCCGCCGCGGATTGCGTCGCAGCCAACATGGCGGCCATTTCCGGTGGAGCGGTCGCTGGGAAAACTGCGGCGCTTTCAACGTTGGCAGTTGACAGTTGCTCCCGTCCCGCATGCGGGGCGGTTGGCTGCGTCCGCGCCTCCACCTCGGCCAACCTGGCGGTCAGCTGCCCCACCGCCTGCAGGAGCTGCTGCAGCAGAGCTGCGGGGACGCTCTCCGTCTCTGGCGGCGGCGGTGAGCTGGCACTCCCCGCAGCCGACTCCTCCCGCTCCGGCCCGCTCGTCTCCACGGGGACCGTCACCGGGGTCCCGGGCTCCGGGGTCACTGCTGGAGCCTCCTCTCCGCCTTCGGCACCCTCCAAGTCATGTGCCGGTGGGTTCCTACGCCGTGCGCCCGCTTTATACATGTTGGCGACGGTGTAAACTTCTGACACCAGTTCTTGTATCGTAGACGGAGGTACTCGGAGACGGAGGTTGAGTTAGGGGCTTCCGCCAGGGTTTATTAACACTTATCACTATCCCTGGTTCCCTCTTTACCCCTTCC